CTAATTCTTTTTAGTACACACACATATATATGTTTTATATATGAATACATAATATGATACCATTTTTGGTTATATATGATTCGATTACATCCCGTGATCGCTACTCATGAGTTTATGCATGTATATGATCTCTCTCTTTCGCGTGCAATTTGTAAGGCTGCAAACCACGAAACTGGTCCACCAGATACATATATCTAAGTAATAATAATAGTAAATTAATATATAGGGGGATAACCATTTAGGATTCACCGCCTCAGAATTACTGCTCCGATCCCCTAAAATTTCTCAAAACCGTTACTGACAGAGTAAATAGCATTTGAGAAATTAATGATGTTTTTACCTATTGAGCAAAAAAGAAAATAAAAAAAAAGGAAAAAAAAATCATATGTATCTGAGAAATTTCTTGGCGGTTCTACTGATCATTCAAGCATGCTAATAACGATCCCTATCTCGTAGCTAGGCCGGCTACTGCTTTTTCGCCTAGACCCTTTTCTCTCTGCCGCCGCCTTAGGACTTTTAGGTGTTGCCTTCGAAATGATGTGTAGCAAATGCTTTCACAACCATGTAATGCGCTTTTAGCAGCTCTTTATTAAAGAAATTTTACAGATTTAACAGACATGACATGCTCACACACACATATATATATACACACATAGAACCGTGTATATGTATGTGTATATATAGATTTTATCGACAGTCTCGAAAGAAACTGTCCATTCAATGTAATATATATATATGAGTGAAAAATATAATTAGTAGTTAATTAATATAATATAGATGTTGTTTAACATAACATGATATATAGGTATCGTTCACTTCACAGATTTAAATTTTTAATTCGAGTTGAGATGTTACATTTTTTAAGAATTTTTCACTATAGTAAAAAAAATAATTTTGATGTGATATTTTCTGAAAATTTTTTACTGTAGAAACCTAAAATTAAAAACTCGAATCGGTAAAATGAACGAGCTCATAGTTATTTAACGTAATACAAGCATTAATGTAACACTAAAAATTTTGACCATCTCAGACAATTGTTATATTTTAATTTAGTTATTCAGTATAATAAATGTTAGATCTGATATTACGTCTGGTGTTTCAGATGATGTTGAAATATTGTCTAGAATACAGATTAATTAATTAAGATATGGGTTAATTACGTTCAATTGGTCGAGCAGAATAAAGTACAGAAAGTAAAGGAACACACAATATGATATCGCAGTTTGGTGCGCACACCTATATTTACGGGGCCACGCCCAGACAATAAACAGTTCACTATGTTTCAGAAATTACAGACACGGGACTGACTTATTCACTCAATGACTCCCTCCTAGACAATGACACCACTGTGACGAATCTCCACAGTGATTGTTTAGCGTACACCACACGTCTTCTATTCACCTGACGAACTCCTTTCGACCGGCAGAGCTTCCTTCCGAAAGCAACAAATCCTTCTCCCAAAGGACGATCTCAATAACTCAAAAAAACTCATAGACGTCTCTCTGAATATTTTCTCAGTAATAAACTCTCACATTCACAGACTTTTCCTCTGTAGATATTCTATTAAATCCGTACCACAAATGAGCATCAAAGAGCCGTCTATATAGAACTTGTACTCCACGACAACCTCATATAACTTCATCAATATCTAATAACTATCTCTTCTTTAACCAACTGCTCTATCCGGATATTTTCTTCAATTATCCTACATTTGCAACATTAACTTTATTCTTCAAATATAATTCAAACTTCAAATCTCTATGCGCATCTTCATTATCTCCATGTGCACAATATCTTCACAATGGCTTAGTTATCACATTGGCTCCATGTGAATACAATTCGAATCCAACAAAACGCCAAAAATCGGATAATCATCACAATAAAATCTCCACATAATCTTTTTGATTCTTATCTCTTTTAATCCTCATCTCTTTCTAGAATCTCATTTAAGTTTTATTAACTAATGCCTTATCTTCCTTTGACTAAGTATTTATCCTTATCTCTCTAAATCTCAACTCAACAAAATCTGTAACTTTAACTTCAAATTTGATTCTGAATCTTCTTTTGCAATAAGAAATCTTCTTAAACATGTTTTTTAAATTTTTATAAGATTGCTAATAAATTACCAACTAATAAAAATATATAACAATAAAGATATTAAAAATATATAATAATAATCTGAGATGCTTAAATGTCTTAATGTCTTAAATTTTTAATGTTAATGTCACGTTGAATAAATAACATATTATGTTTTTCACGTTTATATGTTAAGTTAGAGGGGCGGTCTCTCTAAAATAATTAGAGAAAAGCTCATATGTCATACTTAATTGAGGTAATTACTAAGATAAAACGGAGTGTTGTGCCGTATGACTGAAGACAGTGGACACTAATGTCAATTCATGTAGCGGAAGAGTAATAAGAATCCCTTGCAAATAGAAAAATTATAGAATTCACTGTGTATTAATCTGAATTTTTATTAATAATTTTTTATTAATACCATTTTATAAGTATTGTTATTTGACTAAAAATATTATTAATTAAGAATAAATTATGGGTCTGTTCACTTTTTTAATTCGAATTTATAATTCGAGTTGAGATGTGATTTTATGTGAGAACTTTTTACTGTAGTAAAAAAATTAGATGTGACTATTTCTGAGAGTTTTTTACTGTAATAAAATTCAAATTCTAAACTCAAATCGACGAAATGAACGGAGCCTAAAAATTTTAACCAATACATTTTTAAGAAATATTTATCTCATTTTCTCGTATATTAATAAATAAAAACTTTAAAGATTTATCCATTTACGTGGAATACTCTAAAAAAGAGTATTTTTAAATCTTTATTAGTCATACAAAATATTACTACCCATTAAGTTTGTATAATAAAAAGACAATTGAAGAAAACAAGAACTTTTTTCCTTTTTTTTTTTTTTCTATTTTTTCTATCTCTGTGTTGTCTACTGATAGTATTCTCTCACTCTCCAAAAGTCGTGATTCACGATCCACGGAGAGAACGTCGTTGGAGATCGCGATTCGCGATCGGAATGAACTTTCGACAGAGCTCCGCCATGGTGTGACCATTCCCAGCGATCTATTGTCGTCCTTCCTTTGCCATTGCTTGCCCGTTGCTCGTCTTCTCGGCGACGGGAGTACTGAGTTCAAGGAGACAGGAAACGTATTTGAGAGAGAGAGAAAGAGAGAGAAAGATCTAGATTTGGTTTTACATTTTTTGTTTCCTGTTTGGTTTCTGAGAGAGAGTGAAAGAGAATTGAAAATATATAAATATATATATATATATATTTGTGATTGATTTTTATTGAGAAAAAAATATCCTGTCGACTACAAAAAATAAGGTAGCGGATATAAAATATAACATGTAGGATATGATAGATAACTTATAAGATAAATTTAAAAATAATAGCATAAATAAAATAGTGTTATTTTTAAAAAAAATTTCCAAAAAAACCATCTCAATAAATTATAGTAAATAATAGATTGGGAAAAAGAGATAAAACCCCTTAGAATGTATAAATCTTATATTTTTATTCATTACATTTGATTAATACGCTTTAGTCAAAAAATTATATTAGTTAAAAGTGTATTAATACAAAATAAATGTAAACATCTCAGAACAAATCATTTAAAGGGGGGACTTAGCCAATTTTCTCTAACAAATTTATGAAACTTAATTAAGTAAATATCAAAATTTTAAACTATTTGAGTTAAATAACACTTTACCATGTAAAAATTTTAATTATGACTGGTAAAAAATAATTTGTGGTAAAAGATCTTTATTCTCATGGAAAAGATCTTTTTATCAGTCGTAAAAAGAAAATTTATGAAGAAAAAATTCGTTTTACTAGTTATAGATAGAACATTTACACTGTAAACTATTATTTACTTCAAATAGTTTTAATATATGCTATTTACTTCAATTATTTATTATAAATTTGCTATTTATTTCATTCTCTCTCGATTTAAATAACAAATAAAAAAAGAAAAATTATTAAATTTATCTTTAAAAGTGTATACGTCTAAATTTTTAACTTTTATTTTTAATTATTATTCGTTAATTAATATAGTTATTTAATCAAAAATGTTATTAACGAAGAGTAGAGTAAAACTTAAGAACCGTGCACTTATTTGTTAACGTTTCATTAGATAACCGAGGGGGACCTTTAACCGAGATGATCAATGGGCCCGTGTGAGAAACAGGCTTGTAAATGGGCCGTCATCTCATCCTTTTCGTACTGCATAGAGCCCATCAAAGTTACTGGGCTCGGCCTGAAAGCTTTTTACTCTGTGGATTAAAAAGCTTTTTTCTTTTTAATTTTGAAAAGTTATACTGGATTGCCTTAAAACCACTCTCTTTTTTTAATATAAAAATATAAACAGGCTAAATTATTTTCAGTTAATTAAATTACATCAATTATTTAAAATATTTAAAATTTGAAATTTACCCTGTTTCTTCCCCCCGATCTCCTCTCTCTCCCCCGTCCCGAGTGAATAATAAATTAATAATACACACGAACCTGTTTGTGAAACCATTTTTTTTCTTTTGCTTCCCTATTTTAACTCATAGACCATAGCTTCTTTTCTTTCTTTTTTTGTTTTTTTTGTTTTTTTTTTGGTTTTGTTTGAGATGGACTGTAGCTTGTTTTCACTATCCGTTTGCATCTCAAGCTTTATGGGATATCCTTTCCACAGAAATTACAAGGAAAGAAATATGAATACATTTACATCTATTTTTTTTTTTCACAAAAACTACTTCGCATAAATTGAAGTACTCTGCAACCTGACATTAACAACTGATACGTTGTTATAGAACAGACCAAATACTATAAATATAATTTGGTTCATTCATCACATTGTTCAAAAGATACGTACATGTAGAACTTGGAAAGTGCGCTGAAAGCCAAGAAGATAAATTCCAATCAACAAAATGAATAAAACAAAAGGCTAAGACAATACATTTTTAATTTCACAAAAGAGAACTTTTTAAAAAAGTAAGTCACGGTGAGGATGGTGATCTCCTTTGTGATGTAGCCCTTGTCATTCTTGCACCATAAAGTTGCAGCCCATAACCTTCGTAATCGGTATCTGTTTTGTCTGTCTCTTCTTCTTCATCTTCATCCCCATCCTCTTCCATATCGTCGTCCACATTATTATTTCCCACAATTTTTTTCCTTCTCACAATGCTACCATCCTTGAGCCATTGGACGACTTCCAACATGCTTGGTCGATTTTCGGGGTTATTATTGGTGCATTTCATAGCAAGCAAGACCGTGGATTTCAATTGTTGGGGATCAAACTTGCCTTTCAACCTAGGATCGGCTATGCCGTCAAAAGCACCCTTTTGGGCATAAGGGATGACCCATTGAACAATGTCGCGCTTCACCCCGCCGGGAAGTTTCTCGAGAGGCTTTTTGCCGCTAATGATTTCCAAGAGCAAGATTCCAAAGCTGTAGACATCACAACACTCCGAGACCTTCCCCCACATTGCATACTCGGGTGCTAAGTATCCAAGAGTTCCTTTTACTCTAGTGGTCAGATGACTGATACCGTCCGGGATTAGCTTTGCAAATCCAAAATCAGCAACTTTTGGTTCAAAGTCATTGTCTAAAAGCACATTGCTTGCTTTTATGTCCCGGTGTATTATATGGGGATTCGCCTCATGGTGCAAGTACCTTCATTTACCAAAAAAAAAAAAAAAAAAAACCCAAGATTGAGAAGACTCAGAAATTTGAAATGCAAATACTAATAAAATACAAATTACATGTGGACTTTTGGGTTCCGTATTGGTTTTATGGGATAATTAATTAGTAGAGTGGACTAATTGCATTTCAAAGCTCGAAATTAAAATGGTCCATAGACTAGCTAGCTAGCTAATGATCAACGATTGTGACTGGCTAAATTAAGGCATCTTTCAATTAGGAATCTTTGAATGATTCAGAAGGGTTTGGTTGTCCTTTAATATTATCCTAATAGCTAGTTAGTTTCTACAAAGTTTTATTTCAAGTGCGAGAATAACATATACATCATTTTTATTTTTATTTTTGGGTTCAAATATAATGAAATTACTATTCTGCCAAAGATCAGTTTTATATTTACTTACGCTAAACCTTCCGCTGATCCAATGGCGATGTTCATCCTACGAGACCAATCAAGAAGACAATCTGAGGCAAGTTGGCCGTGCAAGTGGGTGATCAAGTTGTGATTAGGCATGTAATCGAAAACGATAAGCCTTTCTTCGCCGCCGGCGTAGAATCCTCGCAGGCCTAACAAATTCTTGTGCCTCACTCTCCCAAGTATTTCCACTTCCACAGCAAATTCCATCTCTGCTTTGGCCGTCATCGTCTTCAGTCGTTTAACCGCTATCTACACATAATTGTTGATCAATTTATTGCCAAACTAAGCAATTGAAAAGAATTAAGTATGGAGAGAGATGACTAATATTTAAATTTTGTAGAATATATATCCTCACGAGGGTATGCAGAAAATCACAAAAGGAAAAGGATACGCATAGAAAGAGAGAGATATATATACACGAATATATAATTTCATACCTCAACGCCTTTACTTGTTCGAGCAAAATAAACGCTTCCAAAACCGCCTTCTCCAATCTTGTTATTTTCATCGAAATTGTGTGTGGCGTGTAGGAGCTCCTTGAGAGAGTATCTTTCCCACGAGTAATCCCTAATACAATTATTTTCTGCCCTAAGAATTCCCAAAAAAAATAAATAAATAAATAAATAAATCAAAACAAGAACAATATAATTAGACAAATTAAGGGTAATTAAGGATTCATCAACTCTAATTACATCATACCTGTTTTGCGATTCGTCGTTTTCATCAGAAAAATTGCAACAAAAGCAGTTCCACTGCATCTTTCCGGAGGAAGAAAACCAAACCATGAACAAAGAAGCTGTTGTATGGAGAGGACCAGGTACGGTTTGGAGAAAACAAACAGGTTGATCAAGCAACAAGAAAACAAAATATTATTTTCGGAAATTTCTAAGCAAAATTAGGGAAGGAGTCTTATGGTGAAGACAAGAGAGTACCTCTTGGGAAGTCAAGAAATTTGGTTGTTTTCAATGGCAAGGACAATATGCTTTGCTTGGCTGTTCATGAGCGTACACTTGAAGCCGATGTATTCTAGTGCTTTATTATCTTATGTTAATTAAGCAATATATATATATATATATACATATATATTTCATTGGAAACGTCACATTTCCAATTTGTTAATTGCACATTAAGCTTGGCAATGTATATGTTATCCTTTCTACATAGTCTAGACCTGGACAATGAAAACAGCTAGTATTTAATATGATATTCTTCACATTATTATTATTATTTTTCCTTCAATTGAAAGTGACACCATTAATATCGAGTGATGAACACGAACTTAGCTCAGTAACCAATAAATCCTAAGCCTTCAGAAATGGGGGGTGAGACTCAATTGTGTAAGGGACGATGATGAGTGTTTCACCTTTGACACACAAAATAAAAATAACAATAAATAAATAAATAAAATTGGGCCTTATCAATTTAATTTTAAAAAGATAAATGTTGCAAAGCATGCCTTATCTATCGTACGCGTGTCACCTACGATTAGCTGTAGTCAAAAAATATTTTGGATATGAATTATATATAAGTAACTTAATTAATTAATAACAAATAGACTTGCACAAAAAAAAAGGAAGGAAAGAACAGTAAATCTGAGTACGTACTCCAAAATTATTAATGAAAGAGAATTCATGCAAAATTATAAACAGAAGGGGAATATATTTAGGGAAAATTTTTGAAGGTTTGGAATCTTTATTATTTAAATTGGACGAGTATAAAGAACTAAGAAGTAGATTTTTTTTTTTTTGAGTTCCAAACTTTGATAATGAAACAAGGAATTTGTAGATATCAATAATAAGGCTAAGCAATTAGTAAGTCAATGAAGATAGCGCAAGAAAAGTGACAAAAGTACGGCTGTCATTAAATTATGCTTTTTTACGTGTATGAATATTTAACTATGCAAACAGGTAATTTTATAATTATATGGATTTATGTGAAGTTCAAGTTTTGTACCGTCGATATAAGGTTAGTGGTTACAATTGGAGATCGTCTTCTTCTAAACTACTCGATTGTCTCATATGATCTTATCCCGCTTATCACAATACTTCTACTTTTCTTCTTCTTTTTTTTTTTTTTTTTTTTTTTTTTTTTTTTTTTCCTTTTTTTTTTTTACCACTGTATCATAATACTTGTACTTGTTCAATGACAAAGAAGAAATACAAGTTAATTTTGCTAAGTCATGGAGTCATGATTTATTGGTAGAGGGCTATTTATTTAATCAAGATTATACTAATATGTGTATATATATATATATATAAATAGTTGACCTAATAAAATATAAAAAACTATTAATTTAAGGAGGTCGAGTCTAATTTATATGCTTACCTACTATATTAAAATTAAAATCACTATATTGAAAAACAAAAAAGGAAAAAAGCCGCAATTGGAGGGTAGAGACCCAAAAAATAAAAAAATAAGCAATTCTAGGGTAGAGACCAAAATAAAAAAAGCAATTCTAGGGTAGAGACCCAAAAAAATAAAAAATAAAAAATAATACCAAACTCCATAGACGTTGTATACGGGTGTCTTGCCAAGTCAAAGGTTCAAGAGGTCTAATATATACTCTTACCTACTATATTAAAATTAAAATCACTATATTAAAAAACAAAAAAGGAAAGTTCAAACAAAAAAAAAAAAACAAAAAAGGAAAAAAGATAGAGCGTCCCATCGCCCCTCCACCTCCGTCATTGACTTTGCTTATGAAAGCAATTCGAGGGTAGTGACCCAAAAATATAAAAAAAAAATAAAAAATAAAAAATAATACCAAACTCCATAGACGTCGAAATTTCTGGAGGGTGTAGACGGGTGTCTTGCCAAGTCAAAGGTTCAAGAGTTGTAGAAATCATATGTTACCCTTTGGGGCTGCCTAAAGTTGTACTTAATTTGATAATCATGAGTACACTAGTACATGTCCCAAAAGTTATCAGACATTTTTTTTTTGTTGAAAAAATTAGATATTTTAATTTTTAGTACTGACAAACAATGTTATAATTTCTCATGAATTATCATATTAGATCTTCTTTATACAAGTTTGTATTTTATCTATGGTAAAAAAATTTGAGTTTTGAGACAAATTGTCCCTGAACACTTTAGAAGTAACACTTTGGCCATCGATTGCTAAAGTTTGACACTCACCCTCTCAAATTCTTAAATTGCTTGCAATAACAAAAAAAAAAAAAAATTGTAATTAACTGTTATTAAAATTGATGGGCTGACATGAATAGCTTAGATTATATCCAAAAATATTTTAGAAGGGATCACTTTGGTAGAAAAATTGTTTCCATAAGAATAAATTAGAGAAAAAAATTCACTTAAATATATTTTAAAGTATAAGATTTAATAGGAAAAGCTCAAAAGTACAATAGGAAAAAAATAATTTGAAATTAAATTTTGTGGGGATATATTTAAAATTTTATTGATAAGGGGGGCATATAATAAATTATTTTTTTTGAGAAAACATCCTCACCTTCCTCCGCCACTGATTTCATATATGATTAAATTATCCATAATATTATGTCTCCAACTTTCAGAATTTTTTTATTACTAATTAATCACACTCATTGATAAATACAAAACATAATAAACAGATGTGAGTTCATTAATTTAGGATTAAGATTAATCAATAAGTAACCATCAATAATATAACATAATTTCTTTTTAGAAATTACACTTCCATTAAGGTCTAATTCAATATATTCTAAATACAATGTCTCTATTATGTAATAATCTTCACAATAATTAAGATAAGATCGTTCTATTCCTACAAGAAATAGAGAACAAAACAATTTTATCAAATTAAAGTGTCTAGGTTTATTTATCGATCATTAACATTAGTTTATAGTATAGGAACTTTATGGTATTTACTAATATTAATAATAACAATATTAGTAATGAACGATTATCATGTGAATTGTTAATTAAATGAATCAATTTTATTTCTTATAAACGTCAAAATAGGAATGCTTTAAAAGCAGTTATGTAAACAGCTTCTTGACCTCCCTTTTTTTCATGTTTTTCAAAAAGAAAAAGAATAATATAAAAAATGGGCAAAAGATAGAGAAAATGCTAAAGAGAAGAAGTTAAAAAATAAAAAATAAAAGGCTTGAGAAGATGGTTGTTATAGAGAATATACGTAACCAAAAAATCCAATTGATAAAAAGCACATTTTCCCTATGGTTGTAAAATGATTGATCGGTAAAATCCTAATTTCATCCAGATTTGAGTGGTTAATTAGAAGCATCTTTTTACTATTTCAAGGATGATTTAGGTACTTTAAAATTCGACAGTAAAAATTAATCATTATTAGAAAATTAAATTAAAATATCGTCACTTTAAAATTGCAAAAAGTATAGAAGGTGTCAACTGTCAATATAATTTTACTTTAAAATATGGCTTAGAAAAGAAAAGTTATGCGATTTAACAACCACGCATGGACAAAAAGTAATAATTGAGGGGATGCAAGAATCAAATCGGCGTTGGTCATCATTAAGATTAAATTCTCAAAGTTAGGTAAGTTTGAAATCAGTTATTTTATTTTACTAATTTGTTCCAATAAAATATCAAACATATGTACTGTACATATAGTAAAAAAGCTATCAAACATATAATATATCTTTGATAATTTACTATAAACAATTACAATGTTGATCGATAAAAGAATTAGGATAAAATTTTTTATATATGTGTGTGGGAAGAAAATACAGGCCATCATATATTTGATAATATGATACAGTTGTTACTACACAGATAAATGCACAGAGGAATGATGAAAATCAAAATACGTCAAATAATATAAAAGACACAAGCGGTGAATTTCACAGAAAAACACACAACCCGATGCACCAGTTTTGCAGTTGCACATTTTATTTCCACATTTACAAATTCAGAGCAACATTTAAACAATTGTACGTAGGAAGTTTAATTCAAAGCAACAATTAACCAAATGTATATATTTAATTTATGTTTATTTTCTTCACGTAGTTCGTTTAGATAATTAGAATGTTGTGGTGAACTCTCATGGCAAACATATTTGCAGTACCTTATGCGTAAAAGTGAGACATGTTCTTTTATATTTTTGAGTTAAGATGATTTTAAGTTAAGTTTGAGTTATAACTTAAGTTGAACTTATAACTTGAGTTTGTGTTTAGACGTGCACATTTAAGTTATAATTTGAATTGAGAATCTATTTGAGTTTCTGCTTGGGTGAGTTAAAACTTAAATTTTGTATTTAGATAGTATTTTAATAAAAACTCAATGGTGATGAAAAATTTTATTAGGATTTATGGGTGGAGTTTTATTCATCATTTTGTTGTGAATGCATAGAAAAAAATCATCTCAATCAAAATTAAAACGAAAAAGTTATAGCATTTTTAATAATAGAAAAAATAATGTTCATTAACTTGGGTTCAAGTTTATGAACTGAGTTGAAGGGGAAACTTGAACTCGAGTTTAGCCCCAAACTCGAGTTCAAACTCAAAGTTTACAAAAGAACATGAACTTGAATAAAGTTATATCTCGAGTTTAAATTTTTTCTAAGTTTCATTGCAAAAGAACAACATTAGAAGTCTAGATCTACGTGAATAAGGAAATATCCTTCGTTATAAAGTCCCAACCACGCCTAGTACTACATCTCTTTCCTATGCAATCAGAAAGTTTATAAGGAAATTAAATGGATAAAAAATAATAGCAAAGGTTATAAAAGTTATAACATTAATTAGCTCATAGCAAAGTTTGAATAACGCTAGAATTACCATCCCTCTCTATGTAGATTTGGAAAATTGAAAAGATAATAATGAAAAGTTCTTGTAAAATGGAATTCACCTAAGCACGAAGTGGCTGCATGGAGAAAATGCAGGATATGCATGTAGAGAATTAGGAGCGTAGAAAATTTCAGGAAAGTGAACATTTGAGACTCAAGTAGTACTTATATTATTTAATAACAAACAAGAAGATGAAATTTGACAAAATTAGCAACAGCAGCGAGTATAAAATACAAAGAAGCTTCTGCAGCCAGCATATATAGACGTAGTTATAAGATTATAATTGTTATGTTCTAATGTTTATCACTGCATAACGAGCCATATATAAGGAAACAGAAGTACTTTAAAAAGAAGCATGAAATTGGTATAGCTAAGATATATATATATATATATATATATATATTTATATATTTAAGTGTCTATCCGAACGCACCAATGCGCAGATACTAAGAGAAAAGTAAGGCTTTAACTAATTACTAATTCTCCAACTAATTATTTGCCATGATACTTAAACTTCTCAAAAGTCATGATCCCAACTTATATATATATATATATATATATACACACACACATACATGCATCTAGATTTTTACCCTTTATTTTTGATTAATACCCTTTTGACCAATATTGTTATTTGATTAAAAAGGACATTAATAATTAAGAGTAAGATGTAAAAATTCAGACTCATACACTCTTAGGGATATTTGTCTCATTTCCCTTGCTTCGTCCGTTTACTATATATGAGGGACAAGAGTGGGCAGTTCTCGGCATCCATATGACAGAGCTAGATCGATTTTGGATATCATAGTACTAGACTTCAACATATGGTTATTAGTTGATCAACTCTCAAAAATCAAATCAAGGCATTTGCAATTGCATTCAATGTATATGTTTTTGGAACTTTTCATTTATTATCACTACTGCGTGCAATGAATTACAGCGTGTAAAAATTTCTTGCTGCTAGACGTTATGAGTCCTCTTCTTTCTGAAACAGCTAGTACTCAGCAGCTGATGAAATAACAAAACATCATAGTTTGACGAATGATATGTGAAAACAAAGTAAAGGAGATCATAAAGCATAATATTGTATAGTCTTCTATCAAAAATCATTTATTCTCGACTGATCCAGAAGGCAACATTCCTTGCTAGATATCAAACTGAACTAAATAAGAGAAGTTGACTTATCTACATGATCTGCAGTACTTCATGCAATAACATTATTTACTCAACCAAGTTGTTATTATAGTATCTAGCCAACTCTCAATTCACTTAAAATCTACCTATACATGTGTATATATACATATATATAGCGAGCTTGATGAAACTACACTATATATGGACAAAAGATAATCAAAATGAACTAATGCAATGCACTTGCAGACCAAAATATGTGAAATATGGTTTGTTCATCTCTAAATTAAACATTAAGACGTATATACATGCCTTTTCTTTCTTTCTTTTTCTTATTTTGAAGGGGGGAAACAAAAACCTATACGTAAACATCTTTTCCTGTGGCATCTTGATATCCATCGGAGTTTCTCAAAACAAATTAGAGCACCAAAGGTCCAAAGATCAGATTTACATATGCTCAATAACTGTAAGTTAATTGCATTAATAAAAGACAAGTTGATCATGATCATATCAGCGATCTGATCAGTTCCAAAATCACCAAAAAAGCAATGCATGCAGAACATTAAATAAATGTAATCATAGTCCTAAGGAGATCATGGTACTATAGTCACTGGGAAATGCTGCACAAGAGAGCATACAGCTTTTGTTGCAGCTCATTCAGATCAAGGCTAGTATTATTCAGATCGACAACCTGTGAAACGAATGTCGATGAAAACATTGTTGAATGTGAATATTAGTGGTACTAAGTTAAAAATAAAATAAAACTAAGTCGACCCTAAAAAATAAAAATGTGTTAGTTATATACGAAAACTCCGCACCTCAGACTGAATAGTGTGGATTAATCTCTCATTCACTCTGGTGGAAGAACACCCCACGACGTTAAGTCCTTCTTCAAGCAATATTTCAAGCACTCTCGATAGGACCAAACTGCTGCTAATAACAATCTCTACTCCACCCAAACAAGGGAGAACAATAACGGAGTTAAGCAAGTTTCCGGAGTTATAGCTTCTACCTCCGGAATCGCTACTTTGTGCACTCGAATCGAACGAGTTTTTGAGCTCATCTCTCTTGATTTTCAGTGTTTCGATCTTGTTCTTCAGGTATTTTATATAATTTGCAGCCTCGTGCATGTGATCTGAGACCGAACGCTTGCCCTGTAATTAATAATAATCTCGTCAAGAAAAAAACCCTAAAAGAATAAGTATTTTATATGATTGAAAAAAAAAAACCAAGCCCGACAATCGACATACACAAACTAGAGATGATAATAATCTAGAAATATTCAAATACTAAATAACACTTAATTAGAACCACTGAAATATATATGAGCCTGATTCAATAATTAATTGTAATTAGAAACAATTAAGCGGGTTAATTAGTAAAGTTGTGAACATATAAACGAATATTTTGGATCGAAATAGAGGTTTTCTTGACCTTAATCATTTCAAGAGGTAGTATTGATCTAAGTGAGGAATTAAGAAACGCCATTTGTAGCCTTCTTTGGCGTTCATTATCCCTACGCACGATCTTCCTCTCATTGTAGTCGCAAGTAGTATTTGCTTCTGCGTTGATGTTGTTGTTGTTGTTGGAGATAGAAAATATGGTTTTATGGTGCCGACCTCTTCCTCTTCCCATATCCATGGGGGATATGAGATTATAATTTAATTATTTCCAACAACTGCTTATAATTGAAGAACCAGATCTTGGTCGATCACGGATATCTTCTTGATGGGGGTGGGAAGCGATTTGGAATACCAACTTATTGCTTAATGTGGTGGAAATTATTATTAAGGAAATATTCAAAGAATAATTAGCTCCCAGAATAATTTGAAGATTTATTTATTTATTCTTTTTCTTTTTCTAATGTTTTTATTATTTCCTTCTCTGTTTCTTTACTATGTATTTGATTAAGGAGTTAAGACACACAGATTCCTTTGTTAGACGACAGTGAGGTCTGTGATTGGATGTGATTAATATATATAAAGGTATCTCTTCCCAGTCAAGGGCAATGTAAAACGTGCATTTTTAAAGCTTCTTTACGATTTCGCTTTTACCTTTTTACTGTAACCATTTGCGGCCATTTCACACATAATTTGTGGAACAACGTTAGTCAGCAGTCGGCGGATACTAGGTAAACCATAGTCATATATGGTGCGTAATATGCAATTATATAGATGAGTTTTCAAAGTTATATTTCCATCGATGGATTAGATATCATCAAATATAGAAATTTAATAATTTAATGTGATAAGAATCTAATATCATTAATTGTCATAAATTTTTTAGGTCAACTATTCAATTTATTACAACCATTGGATTAATATCTTACTTCTAAAATAATGATACCCATTGATGAGTACATGTTAGAGTAATCATTAAAACCACACCAGTCATTATAGATGAGTTTTTAATGGTTACGTTTTCATTAACGGGTATTATAAAATATAAAATTTTGATGATGCAGGATTTTAATATTGTACTTTTAAATAGTACTGTATGTATAACAGATAATAGAAGTTCTATTACCCTGGTGCATAACTGATGCCTAATTGGTTTGCAAGAGATCCTTAATTTTTGTTAATGTAATATGCCAAAGAGGAAAAAAAATATTGTTTAACTTTGCAATCTTCATAATCACAACAAAATATAGCGTGATGTCACAAAAATTTCGAGAACTTTAGCACGATCTTAAGAAAAATAAAATAAAGCTCTCATAATTCTTCCCACATATAATTCCTAATCGATTTATTTAAATAAAGAAAATTAAATAGCCCGAAAAGTAACAAAAAAACAAATAGTCCAAAGCGGCTAACAACTTAGGCGAAAAAAAAAAGCACAAATTGGTTGAAAGTACTCGTGATATAAAAGATATACCATTGACTCCAAAATAGAGGGACAAAATCCTCATTAAAACCCTCAATTTAATCGACAGTAAATTTATAATTCTCTAATTCACGTATGATAATATGGAGTTTACCTTATTTAGTCAAAAGAAACATATAGACAGACTTTCTAGAAAGCTTTATCCAAACGACGCTGGAAAATGATACTTTTAAAATGGAGAAAATGATACTTTTAAAATGGAGATATATGATACGCTTGATAGTTAATATGCAATGCATATATTGTTGAATCTAGAAATTTTTATTTAACATAAAGTTTCTATTTTCTAAGATAAGTTGCTTCCAAAAGAATGGTCATAATATTATCACAAAGAGGATATGGGCATAGAATACGCAATCTCAGGTAGGGGAGCCGCAACATCAACAGTATCGGAACAAAGATCATACGAAAGATATTTAATGAATTATTATTTATTCTCCGTTTTACATATAATAAGGAAGTGCCATCAACTGAACAAATGTAGTTATACATATATATATATATGTTGGTTTTAAGTAAAGCAACATAATGACTAAAGATTAGCTTAGCTGTTTCATATCTTTGCTTTCTCTAATTAAATGTATTTATCTTATTATATACAGTGGTTAGGATTTTGTGGAGGTACTATTACGTGCACGACACCCGGATGATCACGCAAAGTTGATCCTCTTCCTCTTTCACCACCAAAAAAAAAAAAAAAAGAAGAAAAAAGCAAAGCTGATCCTCGATTAGTATGAGCGGTTTAGGTCCAAAGCACTTTCGATCATTGGAATCATTTAGGCCTCGTTCACTTCGCGGATTCGAGTTTTTAATTCGAGTTGAGATGTGACATTTTCTGAGAGCTTTTCACTGTAGCAGAAAAAATTGATGTGACATTTTCTGAGAGCTTTTTACTGTAGAAACCTAAAACTGAAAACTCGAATCGGTGAAATGAACAAGGCCTTATTTAGTTGTATTTTATTAAAAAGAACACGGGACACTGATTATTATTATTATTATTATTATTATTATTATTATTATTATTATTATTATTATTATTATTATTATTATTACTAATGTATATTTATACGTATATATGAATAATGATTTAAGAAATTGATTAGTGGGTATGAGGAAATCATCCCATATTGGATGAAAATCCGGCAACACAAAAGCTGAGGATATATGTAACGTCCTCACCCAACAACAATCCAAAAAAGTGCAATATTAGTTATATTCTTTATTTAATCAACCGAAATAGTAAAAAATAGGCCAATATGAAAAGCTTAAGAAAGTATATAGACTAATTTTTAGTTATAGAAATTAATAGGCCATAACTTGTTAAGTTATGGTTTATAACCAGATAAGTTATGGACAAACTTGTCAAGTTATGGTTCATAGCCAGACAAGTTATGGACAAAAACCGTGAATTATGGACAATAACTTGTCAAGTTATGGTTCATAACCAGACAAGTTATGAATAAAAACAATAATTTAACATATTTATTAACTTATGTAAACTATTGACCTATTAATTTTAATTCATCTCAAATCTTGACCTATTTCCCTACTTCTCCCTTTAATCAATGTGCTAATGATATAACCGAAACATGTACAGCGCACATCATTGGAGTAGGGATATATTATCGGTTCATACACTCTGCTTTGACGGTGCAAGTTATATTTGTAAAGAATGATATTGGACATCGATCCACCGTGATTGTTTGGTACCATCTTTTGTTTTTGCTTATTAAAAATAGTAATCTTTTTTTTTTAATTTAAACAAAAAAATAATAAAGGGAGGAGACCTTCTCAAAATATTGTTGCTTAAAACGATCACACCATATCATTTTCTTCTTATTATTTTTGTTTTCTTTTTTCTGATAAAGAATTGCATCACTATTTTCAATTCAGAAAATAAAGAAAACAAAAATGAAAGTGATACTAAACAAGACTAATCACCACGATATAGATATATATTACTAATTAAGGGATGTGGTATAGAGATGGTTCTAATTATGAACCGAGAGAAGATCATTTTATGAGATGGTTGGTGTCTAAAGCATGATACGTCCAACATGAGTTGTTAATGTAATTAGTTAGGATTTATAAGGAGTGCGCCCGTTGCATTACAATTAGCACAAATAAATAAACAAATAAAGAAAAGAAAAGAAAAAAAGAATATAAAAAGATATGGGCAAACATAGGCAAAAGTACTTATGTTAAGGTAAGCGTTTTTACCCTATCCGTTTCTAAATATTAGATTAACTTTTTATCAGTTAGATTTGAATCTAACTGAAAGTAATTATATATTGTGTGTCTTAAAATTTTAACATAGACACTCAAGATTTGATATTTAAAAAGCAACAGTACTTATCAATAGGATAAAAAAGCCTCCCTTACTATAAATATTACCCAAAATTTATAGTAAAAACTATATTGTTACCCTATTGGTAGATACCATTGAATTAACTTTTCAATATCCGATTTATAATTAGAACCAATTATGCGTTTCGTGCTTTAAATTTTTAATATAAACACTTACAAATCAAAATGTTAAAAAGTTAACCCCACGCTCCGGAATGACAAAAATGCCTACCTACCACGAAAGTTGTGAAAAGATATATGAAGAGAGAATTTGAAAATTATATATATATATATATATATATATATTCTTTTGTATTCCAAGCGATGTAAATATCACGTGTTAGGTACTTGTAGTGCATGATGTCATCCATTTTTGGCTTGTACCAGAAAGATTAACAATTTATAACAGAACTAAATAGTATATACAGTAATAATTGAACTATTTATACATACATTTAAACTGTTACAACAACTAAACTGACATCGATCTCTGGCGCTGTAGCTTCGATAGACGAATCCAAATATTTTGCAAAATTATAGCTATACCTCGAATTACTCTTCCACGAATGCGACAAATGGAAGATCCGTTGCTAGCTTTATACGCAGTCAATGTCGAGAAAATGTATAAAAACTAATTATTCATCAGTGTTTCTGCCTTTTTTTCTGTTTGTCTTTTTGGCTTAACGTTTTTTTGGTTGCTCCAATAATATTAAATTATGTAATAACAAGGGATAAAAGCAAAACACTAGAGACAAAAATTGCTGTTAATTTGTATATTTTCGAACGTCATTTTTTGCCCTCTGTGTATATGCTTAGTTGCAACTGAAAGATAAAAGTAGCTTATTAACTTTAGACAAAAGAAGAGCAGGATATGCATGTTGTGATGTTTGACTCATTCAAAAACTTAGTTTTTTTCTCAAAAAATAAAATAAAATAAAATAAACGGATGAACTATAACATCAAGTTTTTACTAAGACATATCCTAATTAAGTTGACACTCATTATAGAAGTTATCCAACACCAAGTCATCAAGATCTATATTTAAGAGAGAAAAAAGAAAATTACAAAAGTTTATAAAATGAAATTAAAAGGAAAAAAAGAAACAACAATAAGAACAAAAGTGCAACATAAGCTCTCAAAACCAAGAAATGGGAGAGATAAATTGAAAAGCCAAAGAGTCAGAAGTTGATCCGAAAGGTGTAAGCCGAAAATCAAAATGCCCATTCACTGAGTTATTTGAGAAGATTATGGACGATACGGAGACACCATAGTATAGTGGGTGTAAAAAGTATACCAAATTATCCGGATTAATTAGATTGTAGAAGATGAAGGCGTCGGGTGGGTGGTCAAATGTAAGTTTCACAGGACTCTTAGAATTTCTAAAAGATACACTTTCAGATAATAATCAAGTG